GCAAGAGCAGCATGTAGTATGTTCTCAGCACTGTAATCAGAGGAGGCAAAACCAAGATTTTTTACACATAAAATGCAGCAGTCAAACAACTTACAAATTAATCGGGAAAGAAAGAAACGTATATGAACAGTAAAGTTAAGTTAATTTTTCGATTTACAATGAAATTGTTTCTAATTTTTAAAAGTTGTAGTAGACATATTGTATTCTGCACAGACATTTTTATCATTGTGTTTTTCCGTGTTGGGAGTTTTTTTTTAAATCCCTTGTTGCATTTCTCTGACTCAAGCCAAATTATCACAATGTTCAACATGATGGCAGTATGAGTCAAGTGTCGGTAGAACTCGATTATTATTAACGTCAAGGAGAGGAAAAGACGATTTTGAAGAAAGAGTATGGCCAAAGGTAGAGATGTTAAAAATCCTGAAAGTTAAGTGTCATGCATATCATTGATCTGTCAAAATGAATTTCAAAGAGTTTTCATAACTTTCTATCAAATATAATTATATGTATTCTTATCAGATGCTCTTTTGAAATTGATTCAAAACGTTTCATTAAAACATCAACAACAAAAAAACAACATTACTGTTACTCGCATAAGCGAACCGAGACAATGACTCATTCCTTAAATTAAGTTCTCTAATTTTCCCGTATCAGCAGAGGCCAGAATCACCTGTCGCGATCTGAGGAGTTAATACTAACTTCAACCGTCAAATGAAAGCCACCACTGTTGTCGCTTTCATACAAAGACTTGTTTTTGTCTGTTTACGTCATAACACTCCTCATCTCAGAAGTTCATGGCAATGATCTGTCAAATGATACTTATACGTATACTTTTTATATACTCTTTTGAAATTGAAACAAATTGTTTGATTAAAACAAACAAACAAAAAACAACAACATTTGTGTTACTCGCATAAGCGAACCGAGACAATAACTCATTCCTTAAATTTAGTTCTCAAATTTTCCCGTCTCAGCAGAGGCCAGCCACCACTGTTGTCGTTTTCATACAAAGACTGTGATCTGTTTCTGTCCTAAGAAAAGCGAAACTGTCAATTTATAAAACCCCCCTTTTCATAAGTTCATGGCATGACAAAAAACACCATCCACTTTAACCAGAGGTTAAATTGACAAACTTTGGAGTAGACATGAAAATCGCGTCACTTGTTGGGAGAAGTATACTTCAAGAAATAATACTGCTTCTTACATAACTGTAATATATTCCAAGGATGGAAAAGAGCTAAGTCAAGGCAGCAATAGATTTTCAAGGTTTTACCAAATATATCAAGTTAGCTGTGATCAGTGCCTCAGCGTTGGCCAGTGAATGGAAAACAAACATGGCCAGCAAAATCTCTGATACTTTTAATAATAATTTTAAAAGTAGCGTGTTTGTGCGGAGAACTTTTGTCATGCGGGAAATTTTAAGGCAACAAAAATCTATTTGCCTCGATCAACCGATCGCTCGTCATGTGAACTCCCTAAAAAAAATGTTTTTACGCTTTCTAGTAGAATTAAAATTGATTAAGATAACTATCAGCATTAATATTTTAACACAAGACGACTCAAAATTTTAAGTTAAGAATTATACGCTCTGCGTTATTTCTAAAAAGCTGAAAACGGTGGGTGATTTCCCTCAGAATACGTTGGGAAAAGGTGAGAAGTTCAAGATACTTAATATTAATATTGTGTTAGGTTTTTCAGATATGATGAGTATTGGAGACTTGTTTATGTTTGGTTTAAGTGAGAGAGAGGATATACACACGGCATTACCCCAGTTTGGATGAAATGTGAACTCGGATGTTGCCATGCATGGACTATTCTGTTCATAACATTTAACCTACACGAATCCATCGTCCTTTTGTTTATACACGTAGGGGAAAAGAAGCAGGTTTTAAATTTACAAAAGATAAAAGAGATTGCGCGATAATCAACAGCGCAGAACATTAGTTACTAAAAGTTCGTCTCACTTGGAAGATTTTATTAGAAAAATGAAGTAAAAGCACTATTATCCTTTGCGACCATCTGAAATTAAGAAAGAGTGTGCAAACACACAGAGGGAGCCTATCTTTTCGAGCTTGTCTCTCTGTAACAAATTTGACAAACAATTCGGCGGAGCAAAGTGAGACGAGCAGGAGATTAAGGAACCTTACGTCGATTTTAGTTCCTCGTTCAAATCAGTCAAGCGCCCTGTTTGATTGGTTGTGTACCGCTTTCGAAAATTTATCTAAAATTTAATATAGAAAATGATGCTTGTTTCTACTTTATTTTTATCAACAACAACAGTTTCATTGTCCATCGAAAATAAATCTAGCATTACTGTTCCTTTGAAATCCATCTTTCCCAATTAATAATTTGTATACCATCTTTGTTGGCTTCTGTATCTTACGGGTAGATACTCTTGGGTTTGTCACCTTTTACCCGCTGAAAACAAATTGCACACATTTCCTATAAGTCTCACGCAAGGGTTCAGTTATTAGCAAGGACAAAATTGGATGACCGATTGTAAATATAGCGGGATGAATGTCTCTTGCGAGGCAAGTTCCATACTACGTCTATGATGGCTCGTCGAATTTGTGTCATCCTCCAGCAGTAAATGACCGGGTTCAAAGATGAATTAAGAAAGATCCGTGTCTCTAAAAGGCGTAAAAGTTTTTTCAGAGTGATACTTGAGACATAGAGTCTGATGATCAGCCGAGCAAATTTGAAAAACGGCATAACAAGTTATATGCATGCGATATACAATTAGTTATATCCTGATGTGGAACATGAATTAATGTGTGAGTGAAGCCAACACTGCACTAATAAATCCAATGGCATCATGAATGCTTTACAATCCCCACGCGGCGATGCAGTTATAAATATAACTCCAGAAATACTCAGCATCAGGTAAGCGTTAATTACAGCTTGGATTCTCCATCTGCAATCAGTTAAAAAGAAGAGAAGTGTAAAATGGTTGACCAAATAAACGGCAAGCCACATCAGAGAAGGAAAGGTTCAGGGGAAGCGTTTAAAGCTTTTGCAGTCAGGTTGTCAAAGCTTTGTGTATGATGTAGATTGTCACGACGTTCAATATGATGAGGTATAAGTTAGAAAACTTTTGGAAATTTGACACGAGTGGATCACTGACCCTATCCTCTTCATAAAATATTACCTTTTAGCTATCCTTTCATAAATGTGATGATCCTAAGCTCAATAGAGCTCGATTGTTGTTAACTACATACAAAAGTATACACCATTTTGAAAAGTATGGCTAAAGTCAACATCTTAAAAGGTCGAGATGTTGTCCATTATGGCGTGTCGAACGTGTCTCTTCTTCCAACAGTAGATGACACGGTTCAGTGATGAATGAAGAAAGTTGAGGGTCACTGAGAGAAAATTAAATTTTTTCAAAGCAGTGCTCGAGCCATAGATTCTAAAACTAACCGAACAAATGTGAAAAGGCAGATGACAAATAGCAAACACGAGATTTAAAAAATACTAATCGTAGATTTAATGAGGGCAGCAAATTTTTTCATCTTATCTGACTGAGCTTCTTCTCGTATTCGCACGGATTGTATCTGATTCTTGTGCCGTCAGACAGTTAAATAAATCTTGATATAGAATGCAAATATGAGAATAAAGCCAATAGCTACAGTAACTGAACTAAAAGCATTTGGAGTCCCACGCAGCCCCCACAATGTCATCGAAGAAACAAATGTAATGTAAACCCATATTGAGATCACCATATAAACAACACGCTTGTGAGTCATAAGCTCTTGGTGTCTGAGGTGAAGATGAACAGCTAAGAACCTGTCCATATTTACAACCACGACACCTAAACACGAAGCAAGTGCTAATAAATGGCGTATATTTCCCCTCAAGTATTGACGCGATGTTCTCGTCCATTCAAAAGAGACTCAGTTCAACGTCTGGTGAGCAGATTTTGTTTTTGTGATAACGTGCATGAACTTATGAAAATGCGAGTTTAATTAATTGACAGTTCTTCTTTTCCACCGACATTTTTAGCAACAACTCCGCGGACAGTGGTAGGTGATTCAGGCCTCTGCTGAGAGGGGTAAATTTGAGAACTTTACTCTGGGAAGGAGAGATTGCCACGGCTCAATTACACGTAAGAAACACGGTTAGAATTTCGTGTTAATAAAATAATTAAATATTTTAATTGCAAGAGTGTCTAAAGAGGCGCCAAAGCGTCCCAAGAAATTGTTTAAAATTCATTTTGAAAGATGATATGACATTAAGGTTTCGGGCTTCTATGTTTTCGACTTTTGCACTATTGTCTTCCAAAATTTAGTTGAATATCCTCACCTGTCAGAGGGTCTGAATGGGGTCTCTACTACTAACGATTAAAATAATGGCCAGTTACGGCTAACGATTCATTTTCTTCCTTTGTAATTAAAAAAAAAAACCCGTCAACTTTTTTTGCGACTAACGGTTAAAATTTGTGAATGTTGTATGCGTAACAGCAATTTTTTTGGCCGTTTCACGGCTAACAATTAACCCTATTGCGACCCACCTGTCAGAAAGTTTTTGCTTTTTTCTTAAAAACGGTTTATACCTTTCCATGACATTAATGATAATCAGCCTTATGAACGTTTCAATAACAATTGTAAGTACGTTAAATCTGTTTGTGGAATTTTTTAAGTCTCTATTTATACGAGATAATGCACCCAATAAGATATTCAAATTGCACAACGGCTTGTTGTCTCAGTTTAAGCATAGCTGGTTTTGTTATGTAATTAAGTCATACTCAATAATTCATTACATCGACGTCTTCCTCCTGAGTCATACATCAGAAAAGTGAGCTGATGTGGCAGCATCATCACGACATCTGGCCCCTTATCTTAGGAGCATCACATTTGTGTAGGCAAAGGTAACAGTTCAAGAAGAAAGTAAAGAGAGTGACACTTTTGTGTCGAAAGAGGAAATAATCTACCTGCAGAGAGTAAAATAACATTGTGTCTGAAGTTCCCATTTTTCTTTCAAGACTGAGCGGAATTGACACCATGAGCGACTTCTATTGTAACGAGTCCTTCCAGTATCATCCTTCCAACGTCGATTTCAAAGAACTTAGGTCAACTATCATGGCCAACTTAATCTTCAACAGTTTTCTGACTTATACCGCCGTTATGTTGAATATTGTGACAATCTACGCATTGCACAAAGCTTCGACGATTGCAAAACCTTTAAAAACGCTTCTTCTGCACCTCGCCTTTTCTGATGTGGCGGTCGGTTTATTTGGTCAACCACTTTATATTTCACTTCTTGTCAAGTGGTTACAAATAGAGACTCCTAGCTGTGACATTTACCTAATGCTGAGTATTTATGGCTATTTATGTACAGGTGCTTCGTTCCTAGGTATGGTGGCTGTAAGTATGGAAAGGTTCTTAGCTGTTCATCTTCACCTCAGATACCAAGAGCTTGTGACTCACAAGCGCGTTGTTACTGTGGTGATCTCAATATGGGTATTCAGTGTATTATTATCTTCAATAACATTGTGGGGGCCGCGTAGCACTCGGGATGCTGTTAGTTTAGTTATTGCAGCAGTTGGCTTAATTCTCACATTCGTATCTTACATCAGGATATATTTAACTGTTCGACGGCACAAGAATCAGATACAGTCCATACAAATACGAGGTGAAGCTCAGTCTGATGCGATGAAAAACTTTGCTGCCCGCATTAAATCTACAGTTGGTATATTCTACGTCTATATCTTATTTATGATTTGTTTTCTGCCTTCCCTAATTAGCTCGGCTGCCATCAGAATCTTTGGCTCGAGCATCGTTTTGAAAAGATTTCATCTTCTTTCAGTGACTCTGATCTATCTTAATTCATCTTTGAACCCTGTCATTTACTGCTGGAAGATGAGACACGTTAGACACGCTATCTTAAACATACTACAAAACATGTTTCGGAGTAGAAATGAACCATCTCGTTGAATCAAGTGTTGTCTATGTTGATAACTAAACCCTTGCCTGTGGCTTACAAGAAGTTGCAGTTTGCAGACTGTTCTTGACAAAGCAAACGGTGGGAAAAAAGGCGAGTATTGTGTACTTATATGGTGCAGCAGCAACCCGACATTTGTGTATAAAACAAAATACAAATTGATCGGGAATAAGACTAAGAGATTTACTGAACAGTAGTGCTAGATATCTTTACAGTCGTGCTAAATATCTTTACAGCAGAAAATGTATTGTTATTATCAATGCAAATAAAGGTAGAGTAGCAGATAGCAGAATAAAACCACTAAAACAAAGAAATCTAGTGTTTGAAAGAGGTCCAGAATTCCGTGTAGGTTTTTTTTTTACCTCCTTTTGACTTTTCCAATGACTGCATAATGGTCGTCCAAAATCTTAAAAAAAATTGAAAAAGTTAGTAGTCAAGTGTGGCGTTTCAGCGTCAAATTTAACTGAAATGAAACTTGAGCTTGAGATTCTGTGGGTAATACCTAAATTGCAGAAAACTATGATTTATATCTAACTGTTTGAAGACTTGTAGGACTTAAGAAAATAATTTCAAAGTTAGCGCATGGCTGAGAACATACAAATATAATATATCAAACAGAGCATATTTTAGAGTTCTTTCTGTAAACAGTATCATGCAGCTGCAGTCAAATCGACTATAACTAGCGGCATCATAATTTTAAAACGACTCGATTAATTTTCCTAAAATTCACTCAGCAGCGAAGGTTTATTTTAAAAAAGAAAATCTATCAGGAAGATTTTCCTAGACCGTCCCCAAAAATTGTTTTACAGGTTTTCCTATGACATTGGCATAATAATAGTGATTGCCATACCGCGTCCATCATATCAAATTAAACTTAAATTATTTGATAAACACGTATGTGAAATTGGTCCGTCTGTGAGGAGGGAAGTTGGTTTTCGAGCGCTTTGTTTGTAGGTTTCTCAAAAAAACTGTTTCCAGTCACCTTCATATACGAGAGTTTTTGCTATTATATTTAATTTTCATCGGCCAACAGGCGCCGATTACGCGAACGTGTTTATAACTTACAGCATAGTTAATATCGCTGCCATAACTTTGTCTCCGTCTTCAGTCCTTTTTTCATATGTTTATATTAACACTCAGATAACAAGCAGTATTAGCATATACATTAGAAGTGAATAGTGCTTTTTCACGCGCGCTGATTGGCTGGCTTGGAAGTAAATGTCAATTACTATTCAACTCCGAGCAGCTGATAAGACAAAATCGCGCGTCAAGAGTTGAATTTCCGATCTTTTTCCGATATATTGAAAGAAATACCTTATATTTTTGTATTTGTATGGTATATACTGAAATAATCATTCACCTCCACTTCATTGGAAAAATGGTAATTATTATTTTGGCCTTTATTCCTTCCGCAAGTAACACGATTTTCATGTGTACTGCAAAGTGAGTCAGTTTAACTCCTGATAAGCGAACGATATATTTTTTTAAATATTTAATGCCATACATTTATGAAAATGCGATATTTATAAACCAACAGTTTTGCTTGTGTAGAGACCCAGTGTCTCTACTTCGTGATCAAGGACAACTGAATATGAAAAATAATTTGATATGCGTTGAACTGTGTTATTATTCCATGTAAATTGGCAAACAAACTTCCATCACGCCGAGCGAATGAACTGAACGAACAAATAAACTAGCTAACCAACGATTAACCAACGAACGATTCAAAGTTTTTCGTGCCAAGATCACGGAGAAACCGAATAAGCTCGAAAACAAAAGTTACAAAACATGCCATGTGCTTTTATCAAACTCAACATCTCAAAATGCAGAAAACAGTCAACGAGGCCAGCGGCTCACTGTATTTGAGCTGTCCTTAAGTGTCGTTCTTGAAGCCAACAGCTTGTCTAAGGAAAGAAACGGGCAGAAATAGTAGCCTTTGCATGTAAACGACAACAGTGGTGGCTTTAATTTGACATTTCAACGATGACTCCATGCACAGACCGCAGCAGGTGATTCTGGCTTCTGCTGAGACAGGAAATGTTGGGGACTTAATTTTTAGGAATTATTTCGGCACACCTACACGTGATCAACCGTTAAATTTTTCGTGTGGATAACAAGATTATTTTAAAAATTTCTTAATTTCTATTTCATTTTGAGAAATGATATAACGTTCAGCTTTTTTTTTCGAGCCTTTCAGTCTTCAACGTCATTGCCTATTTTGCACATTATCTTCCAGATTTAGTGAGTATCCCACCTGTCAGAGTTTTAGCTCCAACTTTTCTTTTTAAAAAGGTGTACACCTCTCCATGATGTTGGTGATAATCGAGCTTGGCTTCGCTATTACAGTTGTTAATGGGCTAAATTTGTTTGTGGCCTCGTTCATGTCACAATTTATACGAGATATTGCACCCAATTAGAAATTCAAAATGCATAACGGCTTGTTATCTTAGTTTAAGCACAATTGGTTTTGTTACGTAATTTAGTCATACTCAAAAATTACATTTACATCTTTTTCTTGAGCTATATATGGGTCATAACTCAGACAAGCCGATCCGATAACATCTTCAAGAAGGCTGCCTCATTTCGCTTAGGATTGTCACATTCCCAAAAAAAAAAGTAACAGTTCCAGAAGACAGTAGAGTCAGTAAACCCCTCTCGTATCGAAAAAGGAAAAGAGTCAAATACCACTATGTTCTCCTGAATTTCCCATTTTTCATTCAAGATAAGCGAGGAGAGGAGACGACATCGACACCGAGGCTCTCCGGCCAACCATCTTGGCCAAATTTATTTTCAACAATTTTCCAACTTATACTGCCATCTTGTAGAATATTGTGACAATGCACACGATGCTTTGACGATGCGAAACCTTCGCCAAATTTTACTTCATAATTGGCATAGAGGAAAAAGCGCGGAAAGGGTTTTAAGGGTTTACGAAGTTTAAATGGCCAATGTTCTACCAATTAACTAATATTCTGCACACTGGTGTCTTGAGAAACTACTTCTTTCCCGTACATGTTCAAAAACATTTGACGACGGGTGGGATCATCTATGGCGACCCCGTTTCACATTTCATCCAAACTGGGGTAATGCTGCGAGGATATCCTCTTTCCAACTCAAGCCAACCATCATCAAGCCTCCAATACTCGTCATCTTTGAAGAAATATGTCCTCTCATTCCCATTCCAGGTCATGACAGAGTCCATGTTGTGTGGCAAACCTTAAACGTCATGTTAAACACAGATTAAATAAATGAAAACCCATTGCACGGTAGCCTTCTACCTTTGTCCATAAACGGTATCCAAACCATAATTGATGGTTTGAAACTTGAGAGAATTGGACAAAATTGAGAAGATTGTAAATTCTGAACTTGGTCGTCGAATAAAGAAAGTTGTTATTCGTTTATGTGACTAGCGTGGGACGGCAGAACACCACACCCTTCAGTTATCGAGCTCCCACATGCTACCACTGCGGAAAACCTTACAAGGCAATTAGCTAGGTTCAAAGTTATCAGGTTCGGATATGACAAGTGGCCCTTGTTCTGTTTCGACATGCACTATCGAAAGCGCCGAGTCTAACATCGCAAAAAATTTTGAAAAACTGTGAACATATATTGCGTCCTTCATAAACTCAGGTCGCAGTGTTTCCCAATCCGTCGAGAAAAGGAAACAGACAAGAAATCAAACAATAAGGACCAATTCAAGTCTTGTGATTTTCTCTTACCCCAAGCAATTATAGACTTTGGATAATTTTTATCCACAGCTTTGTTGAACTCGTTATATCGCCAGTAGTTATTCCCTTTGAAGAAATACGTCTTTTTATTGCCTCCCCAAACAAACGCCGCATCAGGATCACTCAGTGACGATGGCAGACCAATTTGACGGATGTCACCAGGACCTTCTTCGAGTATGTCACCGTAATATTTCCAGTATCTGTGCAGTAAGACAACAATAAAATCAAAGTTGTCATGATCAAGGAGTACAGTGGAGAATGTAATGCTGTGTAGTTCCATGCACGTCGATGCAAGGTGACAAGTTTTAACTGAATATCTTTCTTCATTTTTACCCAACCCCGATCTTTAATGCGCATAGTTTCTTTCAAAGGAATATGTTTCATCGTATTACTTACATGCCTCCTTTGAAAAATACCACCCTTCCGTCTCGATTGGTATAGGCGCTGTTGATGGGTGTTTCAAGTTCTTTCCATTTACTTGTTACCTTTAGCGGGCCATCTTCGACACTGAGAGAAGCTGACAGTACCCAGAAATAATCTCCACTAAACACGTACGTCTTGCCATCTGCGCCCATCATAAAAGAGTCAAACCTATGCATGTTACAGATATCCCCCACAAAGGGAGAAGATGAAGGTGTTTCTGTGACTGTTAGTGTCGTATCCTCCGTTTCTGCCGCGGTAGTTACTGCGTGAGTAATCTTATCCGTGATTAATGCTGCGCTGGCTTTACTTGTTGTCACTTCGGTAAATGCTAAAGCTTTGGTCCTTGCAGGTGGTCTTGATGTCGGACTTGGTTTGCCTGAATGTTGAAATAACGATCATACATGAATCTTTATTGGTAAAGTCTTAAGAATCTTTTACAGTTATTCACCGAAGTTGAGGTGAAAAGAAAGGGCCTTTTTCATTTCCACCACTTTCACCGACGCTGAGGTGACTAATTTTCCTAATGTAGACCGCGCAAAGACCAAAATGCACACGAAACTTACTCCGCTTATAACCCTTTACACTCCAGCATAAGAATGCATATTCTCTACACTGTGCCACATACATTTCCTAAGTTACTGACAGGGAGAATTTGTTTGCAATCAAGAACCTCTTAAGATCGTTTCCTATATTCTCATAATATTAATACTTGATTCAGGGATAATAGTGTTAGGAGAAACTAGATGCCAGTCACTCTTAGGGATTTAAAGGTTAAACCAATTTTTTACTCGAAAGTAGAACGTAAAATTAGAGTGCATTAGGGTAATTAAGTACTATCAACGGAGTTGATAACGTAAACTGGCTACCGTAAAGAGTTTACAAGCTGAAGTTTCGAGTGTTAGCCTGATATCAGCTTTGAAAATCTTTACTCTTTACTCTTTACTCTTTACGGTGGCCAATTTACGTTATCAACTCAGTTTGTAAAATGAAATTACCCTGTTATACTCTCCCACCGACGCAGCACCCCAGTTTCTTTAGGAACTTAACCTTTTTATTTGATTGCATTAACTTTGACTCAGTATGCACCGTTAGTTATTGGTCAGAGAATTTATCGCCATTTTCTCAACCAATCAAAGCAAAACGAAAATCAGTCGCATTTTTATGCGTATCCTTATTCAAGTATTTTTCCTTTTGTTTTGACTCGTGGATATATGATTAATTTCGATGTAGTTTCACTGCACTTAATTGGGGGAGCCCTCCATCCTCAACTGAGATAAACTCTTCCTGAATATTCAGTTTACTACTTACCAAACAGGGCTTGCAACTGATCGATATCGCTCTGGCTAAGCTCGAGGTTCGGAAAGTAACCTTGGTACCAGGGATACATGACGGAGTAACGTACGTTGGAATGTTTCAGACCTAAGGTGTGGCCAAGTTCATGTAGAGCCACCCAGTCCAAGTTCATGCCACTGCTTGTATTTGTGGTGAAAGGTTCGCTGTCGTCAAAATATACCTTAACTCAAAAAATTAAGGACAGATAAAGAAAATTCTTTGCACATGCGCGTAAATTAATTTGCAAAGTAAGCCTGTTAAAGTAAAAAACGCACGACTTTCTTATTCATGTCTCGTATGCTTTACCATTGAGGCGAAGAGGATTGGAGCGACGGCTGGTATAGTGACTGGTTACTGAATTAGAATCGCAAGGCAAGCGCATCCTACCAGCTATTAATACGGGTAACTTGGAAGATCTGATCCTGTCTTCAATCTTATTTGTTCCATGAGACATGAACAACAAATCAGAGTTTGTTTAAACACTAAGTGTTTAACTTACTTTTGCTATCATTTGAAAAAAAAACCTCTCCAAATGTTCCTCCTTTTCCATCAAACGGATATTGATCACTGCTGTTGGGTTGTACAAAGCTTATCTCTATTTCCCCTCTCTTCTCTGCGTTTCTCGAGCGCCGATTACGGCACTTTGCTACACCAGGAATCCTTTTTTCCCAAATTTTAATCTGCCTAGCAATTATACTTTCTAGAGCATCTCCAGAAAAGTGATTTGAGGGTTCCTTGATAATGTAGTTCTACGGAAAGAGCAAATTTTGTTTTATTATTGAAGTACACATCACAACGGACAACAAAACTGCGATCCTTCCTTTCACCTTTTCTACACTCCTAACAGTGCGAAGTGAAGCATAACCAATTCAGTCACCGATTACGTTCAACCAGTGCAAATGAAAACTGTTCACAAACAATTGCACCTTTTAACTGGGCTTGGATGCTTAACCTCTGCGTGTGCGTTTTTCGCCCGTCTCCACTGAGCAAAGCGTGACACAGGGTATTTTTTCATTTTGTTCGTGTATACCTATTTCCGTCACTAAATCTCTTAAGCTGACCAGATCCTCTTAAATTTGGCTCTGTCACACAAAATCCACTTATCTTGCCAACCTATCAATTGGGCGATAGTGGTCTACCCTAAGCAAGTCAAATTATCATTAAGAATGTCTGTTTATACATGAGTGTCGGCTTTACGAACTATATTTGCGTTTTCACACATTTCTCATTTCTCATTTTCACTCACATTTAGTTTCTCACATGCTCCAGCAAGGTAGTCGTCGGTAGAATCACGTTTTCTCCTTCTTTGTCTTGCTTCACCATAGAGGGATAACTCATTTGCTTCCCCTGTGTTTCCACATCTAGGAATCACGAACAACTTTTTGGTCTCAAAGTCCAACTCTCCAGTGACATTTATTCCAGCCATGCGCTGAACTAAAGCAATTTCTTTTTCGAGTCCAGGAGTTGGCGCACTCGGTCTTACCCCAGATAATATCTTGTATTTTTTTATCCATTCCTGACAAAGGAATTTCAACTTTCACTTAGTAATATACTGAGACATATTTGGATTCATGGACATAAAAGCATTAGAGGAAAGACCGAGGAAATTTCTATGAATCTGGCCATTAGAAAATCAAGAGCAAGCAAATGAAGGATCATGATAGAGGTAAAGTGTTATGTAGGATAACGAGGCAATAGTCGGCAGCAAGTTGTTAAGCTTGAAACATATTTTTGGTGGATTTACGTCTTCCCTCTCTGAGATGGCTGTTGCGAAAATAACAAAGTAATTCAACCAAAGTTTGAGTGATGGTATGGTCATCATCCTTCTTCATCTGCAACATCTGTAAGGAGACTGCCTTTTGATCATGAAGAGTAAGCCCTCACAGCCCATCTAGGAAGTGTTTTAGCCGTAGAACTGAACTTGGTAGAGCTGTACTGGCATTTCTACTCGAGATCGATGAAAGGATACCGAAATCAAGTGATATTTGCACGAAAAACAATGTTTTTCTTTCAAAGGCCAAAGTCGTCTTAAGTTACTTACTCCAGTATGTTTTTGGAGGCAGAAGATGAACAAACACCTCGAAATTTGAATGAACGTTCATGTCATTATAACATCATAAAAATTAATAATGAGGTCAGTCTTAGGCCAGATAGAGAATGCTTCATTAAACTCTTAGCATTATGTGAGGACGGAAATTTATAAATTGGTTGGTATGTCCGCAACACATGTTCGAAAATCATTTTTTTACTAGCCAACTTCGGTTGGAGATCGATTCCCGAAATTTTTAACTGATAGCATGGTGGCAAATGAGTCCTGGGGAGGTTTACCAAAATAGTTGCGATGCTTGCCTCTCCATTACAGAAATTCTAAATAAATGCCCAGAGTATACTGTGTTTGGCGTGTGCTACCCCAGTAAGCTTTGTGATGCCTTAGTAAGATACCAATCGGAAACAACCCAAGAATTAAAGTTCGCGAAGCTTCCGTTTGGTGATATGTCAATGAACGTCTTGGCAACAGATGCGTCTGCTTGCCTTCCCAATGGGCGATTAGAACTTACCCAAAACAACAAAAAGAATATATGATACAGACGTTGGAAAAACAAACAAGTCATTGTCAAAATGGTAAAGCATACTACAGGCCAACAGATTTTGATAAATCGTTCTCCAAACTAAAGAAAACATTTGAATATTTATCACAGTTAAGGAAATTCCTTTTGGCAAGGAAAGAAATTCTCAGTTAGCATGGACCAAATATCCTACCATCAGAGCAATGAAAATGCAAGATTTGTTTCAACATTAAAGTTTTTTTCTTACAATGAATAAAGGTAATGTTCTCAGAGGTGCAAAAGAGTTTTTCTTTTTACCTTTCTTCGTATTTGAAAGTACCTTTTCTCGGCTGTAACTGGACTCGTTCTGACGAAGGGCTAACGCTCGAAACGTTAGCTTTATAAACTCTTTATGGTGACCAATGTAAATCTTTAAACTCAGTTGGTAAAACCAAAAAATCTTGTTATACTCTCCCACCGAAACAGGAGCACCCCTATACGTAACTGAAATAACAACGCTGCACAAACTCCATGCTAGTAAGATTAACTACAAAGAAGACAACCGATACTTATGCGGGACGGAGAGGGAGGGGGAAGAAATGAAGCGTCTTGCTTACAGTTTTATATTTATTGGTGTTGATTCCCAGTCATTATTTTAGAGAGTGGTTTGATCCCAGTGAAGAATATGCGATGCAGAAGTTGGAAAAACAAGCGCGTAAAAAGTCACAATACCTCGGCGTCTTTAAGTGTCACTGCATCAACGACTGCTACTGACGGTTTGCTTGAGTCTGGGAAAGGAAGGGGCGCTGCTGAGGTGCATTCACTATACCAACAGTTAATTAACAAACCAACTGTGAGTAAATGCCATGGAGATCTCAGATCTATAGAAAGAATCGACGACTTCTTGAAACTCATGACCAAAGCGCACAAATGCAAAACTCCAACTTGAACTTTGACTTAAGGTCCGGTCTGTAAAGAGTAAACAATGAAGCAAACAAAGTTTGCCTCGATGACAGAATGAGATTATTAAGATTTAGAGGTTTTCACGAAAGAGCTTCGGGCACTTAAACTTGCATTTGAAATTAATTAGCCAAGATACTTAATACTCAATTTCTATGTAATCAAAAACAAATTATTCCCTCTCGTGGCCGGTGTTCTTTGATATTTGTGTACTTAGATTACTGGCGATAGCGATCTCAGAAGCAGGATGTAATTTATGCCGCCTGTGGTTTTTTACCACGTGTGCAAAGACATGAAAGCATTGAGGCCCTCAGAGGAACATCACTGATTCATTACTCGATTCTACTAAGACAGTAAACAGAGATTTGTTGGGTCAAGTGTTGCGAGGGGAAATGAGCAATCCGATTAGAAGTGATGATCGAAATCAACCAGTATGAACTGCAAGTCACCAACCTTCGAGGCCGGTCGACGCAAACCAATGCAAATCAATCTGGAATCAATAAGCCACCAAATAATTTCTTTGGATGTCAATAGCTCCCAAAAATCTGCAAGACAGAACTCTTAGTGTAAAGTTACAATCTCCATGAAACAGTTAAAAAGGTGGACAGACTGAGAGTTGGAAGGTAATTGAATAACTGCTGAGATGTCTTAAACAATTTTCAACCTCATCGCCCCTTTTAAGTGTTTTTCGTATTTTATTTCGGATTGGGCAGTTACGAATAAGCATCATCAAGGAACTTTTGTATACGCAGTGCCAATTTAGCAAAATAGCTGAAGGGATGGGTATTCGTGTATACTATTATTTCTCCGTTGTTCACTCTACTGGTACCAAAATCAAAATAGCTTATTTAGAAGGCCGATTTCAGCATGACTTTTCCGGCATCAAACGTAAGGTCATTGAACATGGCTGTTTATATAACAATATTTTTGTGAAGCCCATTTTCAGCCCCAGACCTTCCTTTAGTCAATGAAGAGGATCATAGCATAACTGAGACGTATTTTGGCCTAAACGGTGTGATTTACGTCAAAATTTTTCTTTACTATTCACGTACGTACCTCACTTGTCGCCTGAGTAGGACTAATGCTACAACTAACTTCACCTTACTTGGTACAAATGCAAACAAAAGGGGAATTATTTGAGTATCCTAAATATAGCTGCCGAAGTTGATCCTTTTTTGACTTTGTACTGGTTTGATTTGATCCAAGGAAAACAAATCGTGATGGTGGTCTCGGCATTTTTTTTACAAAGAAAGTCGTCCCGTAGGGTGCTACTTACATTCCAAACATTCCCCCTGTATCAATCAAGTTGACCCATTCCAAGGTTATTCAATTCTCAATGACCAGTTTTATAATCTAGTTTTATAATTCTCCATTGACCAGTTTTATAATCCTCGAATACATTTTAATTCTTATTACGGTACTTTTAAGATCGAGGACCATTAGTTCATCAGTTGAATTACTGTTGTGTGTTATACCCTCCTTAAATAAAGTAATTATTATTATTATTATTATTAATGTGAGCCACAAATAGTTCAAGAACCCATTGTTTTCCGAACTTTATTTCATAGCAGTATACACTCGTTTTTCTTATTTTATTATAAGAATGTGCAACTTAGGGGCTGGGGCTGGACGTTCTTTGTTTATGCGATTTGAGCCTGAAAACGTTCACAACATGTTGTTTGAGATACACAGCATAGTATTTCAAAAAATCAATTCGGTCGTGACCTTAATTTACCCTTTCCTTATATAAATTCCTCTTTTAAGTAATCTGACTGTCTGAGTTGTGCTTTCTTGTTTTCGTGAGGTTTTCGTGAGGTTTTTCAGTTCCCTTTTTGGCTTTGAATGATACGCAAGCTCTTTTCGCTGATGACGATGACAATTGAAGGACAAGAAAATGTCGATCAGTCAAGCAATAAATCAATCCGCAATTGATTATTTGAAAAGGTTTATTTTCTCATCTTTACTTGTAAGTTGATTATGTAGCAGTCAAAGCATGCGATACTATTTTTCTTCGGGGTGGGGGGGGGGGGTTCAAAATAGATGATCTGTTGGGAGAAGCGAAATATTTATCAGTATAAACATGGTTTCAGATGTGATTTCCTTTAACAAATCGATCAATCGAAGAAGATTTGTCGAACTCACTCTAACCCAGTACACTCTCCAGTACACGTTTTACTCGCTCCAAGCTTTGAACGTTTAAATTAATTCAGTATGGCGGCTTGAACCCTCGATTGGAATATTTTAGCAGTTCTCGCGGGCTCAACTGGCATTCAACTTCACGAAAAGATGAAGCGCCGGTTTTTTAAAAATAGAATTTTGTCTAGTGTAAAACTCTTTCAAGGCGGATATCTTTTTGTATGATACGTCCCATCAAACACATTTTGCAGAGCGCTTCGGAAACTTTAATTTCATTTCAGCAAGTTTTCCGAGCTTGACTGGTTTCGCAACAAGTATCCCTTTCCTTGGCCAATAACAAATAATTCCTTGTTAATAGAATAAGAAAAATGATAAGATGGTGATAATAATTTCTTACTTGTGTAACTGAAGCTTAAACTAACCGGGCTTATCTAAATTGTATGAACGATGGTCATAAAATTCTAAGAATTTTGTTCTTTCCTTGTTGTGAAGGGAAAATTCACAATAAATTCTCATTTTCAACCTGTTTATATGTCAATGCATCGCATCCAAGCAGGGCCGATAATACGCGGGTATCCAGACACCATTCTAAGGGCGCCATCATCTAGCTTCCAATACTCGCTGTTTCTGAAGAAATAGGTTCTGCGATTTCCTTTCCATGTAATGGCTGCGTCCACTTGGTGAGGAAGACCTTGAATGTTAATCAAAAAGCAAATCAGTTTCTCTAGTTTCAGATGAAAGAAGCGTCCAGCACGCTGCCAGGATCAACACACGTAAAATTGGAATGACGGTTTCTTTATGAATTTTTGAATGAATAAAATTCAAAACACACACAGGCTAATCAGTCGACCAGTAAATAATGTTTATTGTCAGTGGTCCTCTTGACGGAAAAACTTACAAATTTTATCGCGCCCTTTTAATTTCTGTTTACTATTTTCTGACCACGAATTTCCTATGGTTGTAAAAGGTCAAGTTATGCAGTTATTCCGGTCGAGAAACAATAGCTCTTTTACCAGACGGTAATTTATCACTTAGTCCCTTCCTTTTTCCGTTCTTTTTTAGGACTTGAAGAAAATGAGTATAAACTCTACCAGAGTAACGTTGCTCAAGCATGCAAACATTCTATTTGCATAAGCAATCAAGCGCAGTTTACTTCATGTAAAACACATTTGAAATGACAGACCAGTCAATTTTCGAAGTAAAGATACCTTACCCCAAACTGAAATAGGTCTTGGATAATTATCGTCTGCGATTTTTTTGAACTCGTTGTACCGCCAGTAATTATTCCCTTTGAAGAAATACGTCTTGCCATTGCCTCCCCAAACAAATGCTGCATCAGGATCAGTCAGTGACGAAGGCAGGCCGAAGCGAGTTATCTCTCTGGGGCCTTCCTCGAGAATGAAACCATAATACTTCCAGTATCTGTCAAAATTAAAAACGATGCAGTTGAAGATAAAGAACGCTTTTCGCCTAAATAAAATAAACTTATTACAACGGCTAATGGAAATAAGAAAAGCTGGAAACGTTACCTTAAAAAAGAAAGCCACAGAGCACTCATAAGAAACACAATTTAACTTACGCCAAGGTGGAGAAATGTGAATAACTTAGTCAGTATCAAGAGTTTTTGGGCTAGTGGCAGTCAACAGTTGAGTAAAGTAAACTTACAGGCTTCCTTTAAAAAACACAGTCCTTCTGTTAGAATTGGTATACACGCTGTTGATTGGTGTCTGGAGTTCCCTCCATTTTGATTTGATCTTCATTGGGCCCTGATAAATCTCGAGGTCTGGAGATAACGACCAAAAATATTCTCCACTGAACACGTATGTCCTACCATCCGTGCCCATCAAGAAAGCGTCAAACTTCGACACTTTGCAAATATCAAGAACTGGTTGTATATCAGGGGTAGTTGGTTTCTCTGTAAATGTTTTGGTCGTGGGCTTAGTCGTGGCCATCGTTGTTGCTTTAGGTGTCGTCGCTTCCGTCGTTGTAGGGAGCTTGGTTGTCGTCGCTTCAGTTGTAGTCGGAGAGGTGGTTGTCGTCGCTTCGGTGGTGGTCGGAGGGGTGGTTGTCGTTGCTTCGGTGGTAGTCGGAGGGGTGGTTGTCGTCGCTTCGGTCGTAGTCGGAGGGGTGGTTGTCGTCGCTTCGGTGGTAGTCGGAGGGTTGGTTGTCGTCGCTTCGGTGGTAGTCGGAGGAGTGGTTGTTGTTGGTGGACTTGTGGTTGTTGGAGGACTGGTCGTTGTTGGAGGACTTGTAGTTGGTGGTTTACCTACAAGATGAATTCAACGATAATGATCAGTCGCATGTTTAAACATTTGCACACGTGATGAATCATAATCATGAGTATCATAAGAAGACATAAAATCCACAAAAAGGGCATTGTCGGAGGATTTGTTTGAGTAGAACGTATCGTCGTAGTAGGCTTTTCTACAATTCATTAATGACCAAAGAGAAGATAAAAATTTGGAACCATTCTGTAGGCCACAAACAAATTTGCATAATTTTCAATGAAGATGTGAAACTTAATTGCCGCGCCGTAAGAAAATGGGAACTCTCAGTTTTTTTTTTGCAAACCTATTGTATACCCCAACCGCCTCAGATACTCCACCACCTTGCCACTGAGAGGCTTACTGAGGCAGCGATCTATCGAACCCAAATAATGATACTTGCTTGACGTATAAGACGGAGTAAAAGTATTTGTAATCGCGATGGCACCATTACCGGACACCGAATGAGTTTCTGATCTAGGCATCCCAATTTCTGGATCGACAGGAGCGAGTTGAGTTCCGTGCTTTTACTCCGGGGCACTTACCATAAATGTCTTGTATACCAAGGATATCATCCTCAGTAAGCTCGATATTAGGAAAATAACCCTTGTACCAAGGGTACATAATGGATTCTCGTACGTTGGAGTGTTCCAGACCCATGCTGTGTCCAAATTCGTGAACCGCCACCCAGTCTAGGTTGATGCCATTTGGTGTTCCCGTGGTAAACAGCTCATCGTCATCAAAATGAGCGTCACCGGACAAGCCTAGGAAGGAAATTATCTTTTGAAAAACGGTGATATAAAATGACAACTTGAAAATAAACTTGCCATGGCTTGGGGAATTACATAGGTGTTTTTTGTTTTGCTTTGCGATGATATCGGGCGGGACTGGAGGAGCTGGTGATTGACTTCTGGGTAAAATTCCACATGATCGAGCATCTCTGTCTAATTTTCTGTGGAATTATAGGAACTGTTAAGCAAGAAAACGTTCTTTCATCCTGTGAACCTTTAGTAATGGATCTCCTAAGAAAAATCATCGTTTCTTGTCAAGATTAGTATCAGAACTGTTAAAGTTACATGTGTGTGAGAGCGAAATATCCACAATCACACACACTCCATTTCACCAAGCCATGGAATAAAAGATTTCGTCATAGATACAGTGTCCAAACAGCTCTAAAGTATTTTATATCTTAGCAGGTTTATGCAGCCTTCAAATACGCTTCCCTCGATTGACCATCGGAGGTGGAAAAAGTTATCAATAAAGGCCATATACGGATGCAAAATGACTATAAAACCCCATTCTCCAGTGTATTAACATCCTTTTTCGAAGGACAATTATCAATAAACACCGATTTCGAATGAAATCCATAGATGGGAGCAAAATTACCAATAAACGCCGCAGTGAGTCTGCCAAAAATCGGGTTCATTCGAGAATTAAATGATAAAAGAATTTGCACGCATGGTGCTTCTTGTCAATCTACACCATCACTGGTAACTGATAACAAGAGGCAATAAGACTTATTAAACGAACTGCGTTTAATCGACTAAATACAGCCTTGATTGAAGGTGTTGATACTAACCTCTGTTATTGTGCGGGTAATACGCATGCGCTAATGTTCCTCCTGCGCCGTCAAAGGGGTACGGATCAAAATGGTAGCCTGCAACAAATGAAATGAGTATCTCCACATCGTCATTAGGCACTGATGGATCAGTTTGCTCCCGGACGGTCAGGGTGCTGACGTCTGCCCATTTTTTGATCATTTTTCGAAGAATGTCTCTCTGGATGTCGACAGGAAGATCTTTTGTGGGTGTCAAGAAACGGTAAGTAAGGTTCTTTAAAAGAGAGAAGAGCAAAAATTACTTTTGTTAAACAGTTTAGATAAACCTTCACATTATTATAAGATCACCAACCCTTATCAAGATATTCCTGCCAGGTACTGTTTTGGTAGGGAGAAAGGATTTTCTTACAGAACGCAAAATAACGCTAGGTCGGAGAAATTTCTTGTACAACATGAAACTGCGCGAGTTATAACTGCTTTGGGACTTTTTTTCGTTTTTCAGTTTCTTTTCTATCTTTCTGGTTTTCTTTTGCTGTTAGAGTGTGAATGGTCGCGAAGGTTCAACGTTCAGGTTCAATAGTGTAGTATTATATACTATTAAGGGAAACAGCTTCATTGGAGGAAATAACGAGTCGATCAAATCGAAGCTTAAATATCCCCCATCCGGGCAACCCCCTGAGTATTTGAACCTTTTGAAGATTGGTTTGTTCAAATGCCTCACCCAATCTTTCTTGGAAAAGGCAAAATGAGCGACTGTTACTTTCTACACATTGACCGGGAATTAAAAACTAGACCTTGCAGACCATTTGTTCTAAGGTATTCGCGCGCGGATGTTAAGTATTTATCTTAAACTCCAGCATAATTGAAGATATAACACTTGTATACACTTCCACTTCAAATTTCCCACCCGAGCCAAGTTACGTTTAAGTATTCCTTCTCCGGGCACGGACGACGGTCAAATATCCGTGGGTTGGGGTGTTGCAGCTTCGAATTGATCGGCGCATAAACCCCACGTGTACAAAAACCGCACTTTGTACACCAAAAAGCTATTTAAATTTCACTTACTCTTTTTTTCCATTCTGTCCCTTGTTTAGTATACCGTTTAATTCTTCTTCTTGATTCAAGTGAGCTGTGCACTTGGTTCTCGTCTTCTTGCTCCCGGACGCCACATCGTGGTAGCACAAAAAGCTTTTTGGTCTCATAGTCCAACTTTCCAGTTACGTTTAGTCCACCCCGGTACTGAATTTTTGCAATCATGTCCGTGAAATTGACGGCCTGTCCGGGTTTTTTAATCCCGTACTTTTCCATCCATTTCTGAGAAAGAAATGAGTCAGTTCAAGTCAATAACTTTTCAGTGGAACGAAAGGAAATGGGAGCCTGAAAAAATCCACTCAAGTCATTTAAGGATTTTAATCTACAAAATACCACGCAACAATTTTTTTTACTTAACTCCCTTTAAGACTCCTTACACCCACTTTGAACGCCGCCATTTTGAATATTGGCGCTTAACCCCTTCAGGCGTCGTCACAGCCTATGTCCAGGCTCTCATCATTAGCGCCGTGGAAAGAGGCATTTCTCGAATGGTTAGGTTACTTTTTGTACTCTAAAACTGGAGTAAGAAGGGTTTTTTTTTTAATGAGGGGAATACTTCTGCGTTGCTTTTGGCTGAATTAGCTCTTGCCGAAATGCTAATAGCAGCTTTCACAAAGATAATGCTTGAGCTGATTATTCACTCCAGTGTTGAATGCTGACTTTGAATTTTACGTCACACAAGACGAATCTCAACGCAACCTCAAATTCGGCCAACGATAAATTAATGAAGCCTGTTTTTAAAGGGCTTTCCAAAACCTAAAACATGAGTATGTTCAAAATATCACTTTTTTTGACAAAAAAATGCCGCGCCTTAAAGCGGGTCGTGTTAAATCATACTTGAGGTCGTCCACGCGAACTAAAAATCACGCAAGATCGCCATGCCAATAGATTACAGGTTGCAGCGGATCTGAGAGAGCATTTGATGTATCAGCAGTGGAATGGATAGATATTATATTAGAGGTTGTTGAGTTTCTTTTTCACGATAAGCAAAATTCAACGAGCAGCGAGGGTTTTGTCAACCGATTTTACGAAGGACGAACATCCGAGATAATCGGATGTGTGGAAATACCATAATCCTATTCTATTTCTTGTTACCGATAGGCAAAAATCACGAAAAGAAGCCCGAAAAAATCTTATACTAATAAATCAATCGGGCTTAAGTCTCTAATATTTTCGTAGCCGGTTTCAACAAAATATTGTATACAAGCGCCTTCTTGGAGAATAGCCTTAGAAACGTCAAGAGTAGAAAGAGTTTCTGTTTACTTCAGAAGTCTATCTCACTAAGCCATAAGCTTATTGCGTGGATTTTATAAAGGATTTTTTTCCCCAGAGCAAAGCGATGCTTTCAACTGTGCATACGCCTTCACATACCATATAGTCTGGCTGTTTAGAGTAGGGCCCAGCCTATTTTAACATGAATACCGAAAATTCACGGCGTGGCTGATTTTAAATTTTCCATGCGGGCCCCTTTTCCCCATACATATGTTTGAAAGTCTCTGACCTCCCCTTACTACGGCGTTATTAGCGAGAAAATCATTATCACAGATTTTTAACCACACTTCTATTTCTTCAACTTCAAACTTGATGCAATAAGCAACATTTGATAAAACGTAGTTGCGAATTTTTTTTCATATTTTGGTACTTAGCGATTGTAGACATTACGCGTTGAATGAAACGTTTCTACGATTTCAGACATGTTCATATTCCCATGGGACGTGAGAATCGGCGGAAGTGTCTCTGATCAACGACAACAGCCAGCGCAAAGGGCATTTCCCAGTTTGTAGAAGGAAAAGGGTAGGATTTTTTTTCTAACGACATGTGAGTGTCCCGGAGAGATTTTATGCATTGCTTAAACTTGTTTTGATAACCTGTCTGAACCTATGTCACAATGAGCTATCTGTGTGTAGGGTCTGCACGCTCCAACTGAAGCCTACAGATAGAAACTAAACTCCCTCATACGAAGGTTATGATCACTTACGAAACAGAATTCGGTGTTCACTTCATCGATTAGTTCTTTGGGTGGCTTGCTAGGATCGTTGATAATACGTGCAATTGGTCCTGCAGAGGTTCGATCGCAACACCACAGACAAAGTAAAGCGAAGAAGGTGATGAATTGCCATGTTGAAATGAAGCTTTGAATCTTCAGCTTTGACCTCGTGAAATCCATCCTGGTTTTTCCAGGGGCCTCTGTGAGCAACGGCCTCAGTTTGGCCCTTTATCAGCAAAAAGTGACAGCAACTGTCCGTAGAAAGGACCTCAAGGTATCTTTGGCACGAGGGCCTTTACGCGAGCTTGAGACGTTTGTGAAACGGAGACTAAACAAAGTAATCCTGTAATGTGACACTACTTTATAAACAAGATAACATACGCGAAGGAATTTTTATAGGCTCCTTCTATCTAGTTTGTTGAGTTGTTATCTGTCACTTATTGTTTTCCTGTAATTGAAGGTGTGGTATTTAAATCGATCGGAGGCATTCTACAAAGTTTCAATAAATTAATCTATACAGATTTTTGAATGAATGAAGCAACTTTCCTTTTTATCTCCGGCAATAAATAACTTCTCTATGTATCATACAACGGAACTTCACTGGCGCGATTAGTATGTCCCTTTTCGAGGATCATTTTCAAGAAGCTGATGTCTGTATCTGACAAAAAAAATGTAAACAGAACTAGGTTTTAATTGATTGCCTTTGAAAATTCGAGAAAGTTGTAGTTTTATCAGTCCCAGTTTCTATGTCCTATTTTATATGCTGAAGAAACTGATATTTCGAGAGACGAGTGATTAATAAGATCATATCAAATTTGATCTGTACCGCACATAGTTGACCTTCCATTAAAATTTAATTTCCCCTGTTGTCGAGCCAATTTCACCTACGTTAACACGTCACAACTCCTTAACATGTTATTCGACATTCCCTCTTTCTTACTGCTGAGCATTCCTATATAAACTAGTTTTCAAAAGAATCGGGTGTTTAAGGTGATAATGGAATAATTCTAGAAGATAGAGACGCGTAATAGAATCTCCTTTTTGGATGATGTGCTGACATCACAAAGATATTTTCGATCATCAATTTCCAGAGTCAGAAACAGGTGTGTGAAAGTGAAACGTAAAGTTTACGTTCATTGAATACAACAGATACAAGATACTGAGAGCCTGCTTTTGCAGAAATTGATTGCAATTTAGTATTTTTCGCTGACTTAACCACTGCCTGCTCATTTTTCTAGTTTCTTCAAGGAAAGTTTCGACAAGAGCGGAAATCCAGCTCAATGCCGCCTCGAGCTAAATCAAACATTATATTTGACTTCAAGTCGCTGGAATCTATATGACTATTTGTTTTTGTATCCCTCTCAACCATATTTCATTGAGATAATTTACACTCGTCATAGATAACAAGAAAGTTCAGTTTGGAAACAAAATAATCTCGTAAAAATTCTTCGAGCATATCGCGTGTCAAGTTCCGAGAGATAAGCCTCGATATCTTACCTCGGTGTAATTCGGCCGTCAAAATATCAACATGGCAGGATATGAAAACACTTAGGAGGTAATAATAAACAGGGCTGGAGCGAAGATTTTAAAGTTTGGATAAGATTGAAAGGAATGAAAACAACAAACTGGGGCTAAAAATTAGGTGGGAACAGTCATGTAGCTTGCTGAAAACAATGGGAACTCTGGAAGAAAACGTTCGTGACACGTGCGCAATAGACGATATTTGTGCCCTGTGTGCCTTGTGTGCGCGTGTTCTAACATCAGCAAAGAGGTAAGCATAGATACCAACATCGGGTAGTGATTGACTCGTCCTCCAACATTGTTTTTTTTTTTTCTTTTTTTTCCTATTAATCCCAAAACATCAAGACAAGGTAATTTGGCTGAGTACTAGCGGAGAACGACTAAGTCACCAATCTGTTCAAGACTAGATCAGTCGGGGATTTTTGATGACATCAGAGCACGCTCATCATTGATGCTTCATGCCGCCAGGGAGTAGAAAAGTAGGCGGGGTGTTTTATAAGAGTGGACTGCGTGATTTCCGGCTGAAATCAACATCTTTCAGAAGAATTTTACGTTTCGTAATCTGTGGTGTCAATTGTATCATCCAGGAAGGAAATGAGCGAAGGAAGTGGTTTGTCTCCAGCTATATCAAGACGAGAAATTTAGAGACAAATGGTGAAGGTTTCTTTACACTAAAATTGAGCAAATTACAAACTTATCTAAAAATGACTGCCTGTTGTCACTTTATTTGTCGTTTGACTACAATACAATTGTCAATTTTGTGTCAATTATAGAGCTACACGCAGGCCAACTTTTATGCCCCTTCGCCCTCAAGATTCGATAAATCCGTAATTCTCCTTTCTTGCTAACAAACAGTTGAGGGAATTCGAGACAACCCCTTCATACTCAACTTATGACGTGGCTTATTTCCATCGCAGGTTCGCTGGATATTGCATTTATATATATTCTCCAAAGAGGCTGGATGTTGCTCTAATAATACCCTGAGAACAAACCGTCAGATAATCATGCGTTTCTAAGATGTAAAGGGTTAGAGGAATAAATCTGATTGAGCGAAAGTGACGTGGCATATAAAAACTGAGTGTTTACTGATCAAAAAGAGGCTTTTCTATACGACAATCCACTAGGATTCTTTACGGAGCATTATTATGGTCACTCACGACAGAACTCATAAGTTCTTCTTAAGGTTCAGTCGTACCAACACCTCCATCACACCTCATCCACCTAGTTGCTATCGACTTAGGATTCCTCTCGCCTCTGTTTACTTTCCCGAACCTGTAGTAAGGCTCCTTGTTTACTTTTCCAAGCCTGTAGTAAGACTCTCCCTTGAAGACGTAAATTCTGTTGCTGTTGATCCAAGTCGTTACTGCGTCAGCACTTCGCAATCGTTGTGGCCTAATAATCTTCGGGGAATTCCGCCTATTCTGGTTACCACTGAGGCGCCAATACTTTGACCCTTTGATAAAATGGGTCACATTTCTGAAGGCGAAAGCCGCATTCATGGTGCGTCTGAAACGACGCAATCTGTACCGCTTGCAAATCAATCCTCTACTGCGAAGGAGATTGTTATCTCTGTACGCCCAATATCTGCAGCAAAGAGTCAATGCAATTGCCTTTGGATGAGAAGCCTTTTTATGAATTGAAATGCTTTCAAACGCATGAAATTGAACTTGTTTGGAAAAGATTGAATCCTTAAATCAGGTGGTGGTGCTATATAAGGTTGCAAAATCAATTCTTGAAATGCATTTATAAATAAAAATAGTTAATTTATTAATTAATGGATTAATAAAAATAACTATAGTCGATTGTTCTGGCAAAAAGTGAGAATAAACCGAACAAATAAGAGATTGAATTAATCAGTGAAGAAATGAACGAACCGATGGATCACTGAATTACTGAAAAAAGTATCGGACGAATGACTATTAACTAATTTTCCTCTGCTAAAATAAAATCCAATACCTTCCTCCTTTGAAAAATACAATATCACCGTTTTCATCGCGAAAAGCTGCATCCAATGGACATCGAACATCACTCCAGAAGTCTGTGATTTTGTAAGGGTCACTTTTCTCCAATGAGTTGTTAACTGTCCAAAACTGATCTCCTGAAAAGAAATACGTCGATTTTTCATCACCAAACACAGCGTCGTAGCGAGTTCCCGGTAAGCAGGCTGGGTGTTTATGTTGTTTTTTGGTAATTGGTATTTCTGTGGTACTTGTGGATTCTGTGGTCATTGGCAACTCTGCGGTAGTTGAAGTAACTGGTGCCTCGGTGGAAGTTGACTCTTCTGTTGTTGGTGGTGGCCCTCCGGAGGTTGGTGATTCTGTGGAGGTTGATGATTCTGTTGTAGATGGTGATTCTGTGGTGCTTGGCATTTGCGTTGTGGCCATTATCGGAGCTGATTAACAAGAAATAGCCGTCACTAATCTTCTATTTCCCTTTTTCATTTTTCATTTCAAACATAAAAGTTCATTATAGGATTCTCATAACAAAAACAAAAACAACGCCAAGAACACAAACAATAACAGAAACAACAATAATCAAAAACAATTAAAAACAAAATCAAAAACAAAAGCAAAACAAAAACCACATTAACAATAACAATAAATAAAGAAAACTTACCTCCATACAATTCCTGAATACCCAAAACATCGTCTCTGTTGAGCTGAATATCCGGGACATAACCCGTGTAAAATGGATACATAATAGCTTCCCGTACGTCTGAATGAGCCAGACCCAGACTTTGCCCAAACTCGTGAACCGCTACCGAATCGAGGTTGATGCCTAGAGGTGTCCTTGTGGTGAAGTCTTCACCGTCATCAAAATGTGCGTCACCAGATAGACCTTAATGTATAGAGTAACGTCATTAGAAAACTGTCCATAATTGACGGGAATTGTCCGCAATTGAACCAGTTAAGAAAATTCATATTGAATAAAAAATGGCAAGGACTATACAAGACATTTCCGTCACAACAATCTCTTTCAGTACTTATGACCTCAACGTACTTCTTAAGGATTGGCCGTTATTTATCTCTCAGGGGGTCGGTGGACCTTGGTTGTGTCTCTATAAAATTTTCCTGATCCTTCTAAGGCTCTGTACGATTTAATGATCCCTTCCCCCATCAGCTGTCAGTTTTCTATACTCCCCCCTCCCTTAACAGTCATTCAGGGATGACTGACCCCCCTCCGTTCCCACGGAAAACCATAGGATCCCCCAAAATTCTCCTCCCCATACCCACGTGATAAACAATGACATGTCCTCTATTTCTACAAACTGCTGTGTCCTCACAGTGTTATCCTACAAAAAGATCAATGCAAAATTTCCACACGCCTCCCTTAAAAAATGTTCAATCTAACTCAGAAACAGTCTTTCGACTGCTGCAAATTTTAAATGCTCCTAAAAAACCTATTCACCTTTAAATTCATTAGTTTTCTACTTCTTACCCATCCTCTCCCCTTTGGAATGCACCTCACCTTGATTGTTGGATGGGAAGAATGCATGAGCCAGTGTCCCTCCAGGTCCGTCAAATGGGGATCCGTCGCTATGATTCCTGGTGGCGTAACTAATAAGGATATCCGTAACACCCGATTGTACCTCTGTGAATCGTAATGTTGAAGCAGACCGCCACAAGTCTAAAGCTTTATGGAATATCTGTCTCTGTGTCTCTGGAGGTATTGTGTCGTTTGCGAAACTAACGATTCTATAGGTCAGATCCTACAACGATAACGAGCAAGAAAAGATAGGAAACGATTCATTATTAAATCCTGAATTATTCATTTTTTCGATTTATGCACAGGGAATGCCTCTTTTAATGGACTCTAAATTCTCAAGGACCCATGTATCAAATATCGTTTTAAAAAGATGTTTGCCGTGAAATTCCCAGAAATTATTAAGCTGTAACATCTCCTCGCGACATCAATCCATTCTACAATAATCAGGTCAGTAATAAGAACAACCTAACTTATCAGGTACGAGGTGTTTAGCTGTGGCGCCAATTTCTCTCTTTTACCTTTTCCAAGAAAATATTTATTAAATCAGAAAGATACAAATCCATATCATACCAGGTTACTAAGAAGGGCGAATGGTTTTCATTTTTGACCAGTAAAATCACAATTAAAGGAGCGTGACTTTTTTTGCCAGTCAACAAGTATTTGAAATGTACATGTAGTGAATGCGGCTGACGGTTTTGCTTTCAGAATATCACAGATATGCTATATTGATTACATAGAAAGAGTAGCTAAAAATATGTGATATTGCTTGAGTTTGTCAAACGAGACATACTAGTGCTATTAATCATAAGCTGCCCATTCCAAAAGTCGCTAGAAAATTTGTTTCTCGTTAAAGTCCGGTGCCTGGAATTTGAAAAGTATGGGCTATGTGCATTTTACAAGCAATTACTTCTCTTTCATTATTCATATATGGATTTATTTATTTATCTATTTATGTTATATCTTTTCTGCGGGAATAAAGTGGAATTACAATGGGGTAACATCACAGGATTTGTTTCATCTGGCCCGTTTACAAGACCAGCCATGAAATATCCTTCATATATTCATGAATACCTTCATGATTACCTTTCTTTCTCCAAATACCTCCAAATACCTCCCAGCAGGTTGAATTCTCCCACATTTCTTTTAGATATTCCTGACGTTGTTAGATCTGGGTCCTTCACTCCACATCTTGACTTGTTAAGTAACTTCGTTGTTTCTGTATTGATATTTCCTGTCATTGGAATATGTCCAAATCGTTGGAGCCTCATCATTGCTTTCTTAAACATGGGAGAATTTTCATCCTTTACCAAGGCCATTTCACTTGAATTGAGGTAGCCATACTTCAGCATGTATTTCGTTGCCTAAAAAGAAATAGACACATCTGGTTCGAGTGCAAATCCGAATTTAATACAAAACGTGTAAAGAATTAAGTGTTTTATGTTTCACGATATTAATCGCGAGATTCATCAAAATAGACAAGCCTGCTTTTCATTTTTTGTTGCAGAACTTTGAAGTTTAGACTACTGCACTACTCTATCTAAGCTCCATTGTATTTTTTTTCGACGCTAACCGTTCTAGGCGCCTCGTTCGCAAATCTTACTAAGATTACTGTTATTGACTAAATAATAAATCTTTCACCCTTTCAGACTACGCGTATTATGGATATATATTTTCCCTTTTTGAGATCTATACATTTCGTTTCTTGATGGTCGGACACGCCAGCCCCTTACTGCTTACAGTTACACGAGGTAAAGAAATCTCAAAATTTCAATTATATACTTGTCCCTTCCTTCTTACCCAATTCATCATATCCTTCTTTCCACCACCTCGCTGTCGACGGATGGGGCTATTTAGGATGCAACTCACATGAGCGAGAAGTACCACCAAGACTACAAAGTTCTTCATCTCGAACATAGACGAATCTAAGCAACTCGTCCGTAGACAGCTTTGTCTGCTTTCGATTACATCGACAAAGTAAGCATGGACAGGTTTTATAGCAAACTATGGACGGTAGTTGCGTGGGTGTATGACACACTCCTTTCCACTTAGTTCGGCCGTACCGCTAATATTGATTTCATGACCTTTCCTTCCCGAGTTCATGACCTCTCCTTGCCAATATCGAAGGGGAGGAGCTTAACATTACATTATATCATTCAAAAATAGTATGATTTCAAAAATTTCAATCGATCTTGTACATTATATCATATGTGTATTTTAAGTAAGTTATGTGTATTTTGAGAAAGCCATAAGTATTTTAAGTAATAAAGATAATTTTGGTCTAAAACAGCAGAACAATCTTAGCTGTTTTCTTGTTTGGTTCTGAAAAAGGCTATGATTTTAAGACATGACCCTAAGCTGTAGCTAGTGTGGATGTTAATAAGAGTTGCATAATTTGAAAGAGTGACTGAAACTGTTGGCATGGTGCAAAGAAAAGTATCCATGTCGCCCTGGGACGATTCAAACCACCGACACTACGATTAAGTGTTGGAATGCTTCACAAAATACGACACAGAGAAATCGCGAATGTGTTAGGTTTTATACCAGATTTATACATGCCAATAGGAGCAAACGTAGGGAGTGGACAGTATTTAATTAGAGCAAATGCAAAGATTTCGCTTTCTTGGCAGGCTTCTCCTATTTTTTGGTTGTCAATCGCCTTACATTACAAACCTGCGTGATTAAACATCCCTCCGCTTTTACCTAAGTATGAGGTTGATTGACGTTCGTGGATAGATATTGCTGGAATATTTCAGTTTCTTCTGCTGTGTCATCGACTCGACAGCTGTTTTGAATATGTACAAAGATGAGGTTTGTTTGTTTTGTTCTTTTTGTTTGTTATGATGTCAAGTTGACCATTATTACGCACTTAAAGCACGTGAGAAAACAATAAATATTCTACCGCGCACAGCTGTTTTGAATATGTACAAATATGGAGTTTGTTTGTTTTGTTCTTTTTTTTTGTTATGGTGTTAAGTTGACCATAATTACGCACTTACGGCACCTAAGAGGCGATTAATATTCGCTCGTGAGAGACTTTTCTGCATTTTTAAATTTTCCGTTTGGTCGCATCATTATCCCTCTTGATTCGATTGACAGCCCAAACAAAGTGACGGAAATTCTGCCTCGCACTGTTGTTACCTACCTTAAAGAGACATCAATACATAATCTTGCAAACAGGTGAGGAGAAGAGGCAGGGTTGTGAACTTTATGGTGTCATCTGGATGTAACGCCAATCTCTCTTCACTGGTTTACAACGAATTAAATGTAATGCATGCAAAATAATACAGAACGAAGACTTACTAATCACTTATTGGGGATTAAATAGTTAAAACCATTAATTGCACAACCACCAACACTAACATCGTTCACTCTCAGAGTTAAGCTCGGATAAAACTTTTCATCACTATCATATATTTTACTTATATATATTTCCTTACTTAGGTTTTTGAAATTGCTCTTTATTCGCTATGATTTTTTAAAGGATCCTTATGATAAACCTCTACAGCTGGGAGACTCAACTGACCCTTGTCTAAGATGAATTGTTACACCGACGACATAAAGTCAATTAATCCACACAGAAATGGTAGAGATAAAAAATTAATTAATTAATTAATTAATAAATGAATGAGCAAAAAAGAGGGATCAGAAGCTAATAATTTTATCTAGCAGCACACGCATTTGAGCGCCAGACTAACTCGATCTGTGAAAGGGAAATAACACAATAATTGCAACACTCGAGATTTTGGGAAATATAAACAATTTAGCGCATGACAGCCCATTGATCTAATTGCCCTGAGCACTAAGAATAACCTAAACAACACTTCAGGTCAACTTTGTGGCAAGTCTTATTGCTGACTAATGGTTTATCAGTTGTATATTTATAATACTGTGACATTATCGTGTTACAACAAAACAATTAGAAACATTTTTTATTCCTTTAAAATGGCAACCTCAATATTACGAGCAGTATGACTACACTGGCTGATTCTCGAACCTTCGTGAGTAAGAACCTTTTTAATCCTCCTCGAGAAAGATTTGATTTTCCTTCCATTTAAAACGCAAGCATTGACTTTGAATTGCACTTCTTTTAAATGCCTGATATGAATTTTGGGATTCTAACAATTTCGATCCATATCCGAGCATTTTGTTGTTGACACAATAACTAATAAAATGTAAAAGAGAATAGAGCATTCTTCAACTGACAGAATGAAAATTTCGGGAGCACAGAAACATTCACGGATCGTTGAAACTCAAGTGTCTGGATGCCAATGCCCCAATGCTATGTCCTGTAGTGGATCTGCACTTCATCTACTTAAGAGCTGTGTTCCTCCCGTCTCCTCCTTGGAATTGTAGCATTGTGCTATGTTCCTGGACAGGACACTTTTCTTTCGTGGGGCTATCTTGACCCAGGAGTTTAAATGGGTAACAGTAATCTGCCTGGGAAAGCCAATGAAATGTTTGGGGGAGGGGGGAGTGGGATGGATTGTGATGGACCAGCATCCCATCCAGCGGAGAGGGGTAGGATTGCTTCAAATCACTTGCTATTACGGAAATTGGAATAAGCCGTGACATTGTGGGTCGGTAGGCTCCAAGGAATCACACTTATCTATATCATTTTAAAGAACAGACTCTACTTGCGTACGAAGATACTTTCCGTCACGTACGAGTTTAAGTTAGCTGAGTGCCTTGGGAAATGACGCACGGTTCATACTCTTTAATTGTGAAATTTCTATAAACGCTTTTATTTCGAGAATTTAACCTTCAATTTGATAACAAGAAATCTTTCAGCAACTAACTATTTCAAAGTCTTGCATAAACTGCGTTTCATGGTTTGCATGGATGCCTTTTCACTTAAAAACGCATCAGACAGACGCCACTGATCGTTGCTGTCAGTAATATTAACATTTTCAATCGCGCTCTCAGAAATCATACTCAAGCCTAGTAAGGAAAGCCAAACATTTTTTCTGGGAAGGCTTGATAACCCGTACAGTCGGTGATCGCAACACCACAGACAAAGTAAAGCGAGGAAGGCGATGAAAAGCCATGTCGAAACGAAGCTTTGAATATTCGGCTTCGACCTCATAGGGGCCTCTATGAGCAATGGCATCAGTTTGGCCCTTTACCAGCAAAAGGTGACAGCAACTGACCGAAGAAAGGACTTCAAGGTATCTTTGGCGTGAGGGCCTTTACGCAAGCTTGAAGACGTTCATGAAACCGCGAACAAACAAAGTAACCTTTAACATGGCACTACTTCATAAACGAGTTAACATTCGCCCAGGAATTTTTATAGGCACCCTATATTTAGTTTGTTGAGTTGTTACCTGTCACTTACTGTTTTCCTGTAATTGAAGGTGTGGAATTCAAATCTATCGGAGGCATTCTACAAAGTTTCAACAAATCAGTTAATCTACACAACTTTTTGGATGAATGAGGCAACTCTTTTTTTACATCTCTAGCAATAGATAATTTCTCTAGGTATCACATGACGGAACAACTCAAGTACAGTACTTCACCGGCGCGACAAGTATATCCCTTGTTGAGGATCCTTCGAGACACATTTTCAAGAAGCTGTCTGTATCTGGCAAAAAATGTTAACACAACTAGGCTTTCGTTGATTGCCTTTTAATTTGCCTTTTGTAAAATCGCGAAAGTTGTAGTTTTATCCGCCCCAGTTTATATGTCCTATTTTATATGCTGAAGAAACTGATATTTCGAGAGACGATTGATTAATGAGATGATATCAAACTCGATCCGTACCGCACGTAGTTGACCTCCCATTAAAATTGGATTTCCGCTGTTGTAGAGCTGACTTAACCACGTTAGTACATCGCCACTCCTTAACATGTCACTCGACATTCCCTCTTTCTTACTGCGGTGCATTCCTACATAAACTAATTCTCAAGAGAATCGGGTGTTACATCAGCTGAGAACGGAATAATTCTCGTAGATAGAAATGCGTAAGAGAATCTTCTTTTTGGATGATGTGCTGACATCACAAGGAAATGTTCACTTACCAATTTCAAGAGTTTGTAAACCAGTTTTATGCACATTGAATACAACAGATACAAGGTAGTAAGGGCCCACTCATGCAGAAAAGATTGATTGCAATTTACTATTTTGCGGTGATTTAAACACTGCCTGCCTGTTTCGACAAGAGTGGAAATCAAGCTCAACTCCGTCTCGAGCTGAATCAAGCATGATATTTGACGTCAAGTCACTGGAATCCTCATGACTATTTGCTTTTGTCTCATTCTCAACCAGGTTTCATTGAGATAATTTACACTTGTCATAGAAGAAAGTTCAGTTTGGAAACAAAATAATCTCGTAAAAATTTTTCGAGCAAATCGCGTGTCAAGTTCCAAGAGATAAGCGTCGATATCTTGCCTCGGTTTACATGATTGGGCGATCCAAATATCAACATGGTAGGATATAAAAATACTTAGTAGGTAATAATAAACAGGGCTGGAGCGAAGATTTTCAAAGTTGGACAAGAATGAAACGGAATGAAAACAACAAAGTGGGGCTAAAAATTAGGTGAGAACAGCCATGTAGCTTTCTGAAAACAATGGAAACTTCGAAAGAAAACGTTCGTGACACGCGTGCAATGGACGACGGAATTAACCTCTTGCATCAATTTTCTCTCTCGGCACTTCCGCTATATGTACCCTATGTGCGCGTGTTTTAACCGCAGCAAAGAGGCAAGCATAGATACCAACATCGGGTAGCGAGTGACTGGTCCTCCGACTTTGTTTCTTTTCTTCTATTTTTTTCCCTTTTTTTTTTCTTAATCTCAAAACATCAAGGCAAGGTGATTTGGCTGAGTACTACCGGAGATTTTCCGACAACCGAACGACTAAGCCACCTTACTGTTTAAGACAGGATCAGTCGGGGATCTTTAATGACGTCGCGGAGCACGCTCATCATTGATGCTTCGTGCGGCCAGGGAGCAAAAAAATTGGCCGAGTGTTCTATAAGAGTGGACTGCGTGATTTCCTGCTGAAATCAACATCTTTCAGAAGAATTTTACGTTTCGTAATCTTTGATTTCAATATTGTATTATCCATGAAGGAAATAAGCGAAGAAAGTGGCTTGTCTCCCGCGATATCAAGATGAGAAATTTAGAGACAAACGGCGGAGGTTTCTTTACACTAACTTTGGACAAATTACAAACTTATCTAAAAATGACTGCTTGTTGTCATTTTATTTGTCATTTGACTACGATACAATTGTCAATTTTATGTCAGTAATACTCCTTTCTTGTTGTCAAAGATACTCAACTTATGACGTGGCTTATTTCCATCGTAGGTTCGCTGGATATTGCATTTATATTCGCGAAAGAAGCTGGACGTTGCCCTCATAATATTCTGAGAATAAACCGTTAGATAATCATGCGTTCTTAAGATTTAAAGGATTAGCGAGCTAAATCTAATTGAGCGAAAGTGACGCGCCATGTACTGAGGACCCGTTACTGAGTGTTTACTGATCAAAGAGGCTTTTCTATACGACAATCCACGATTATTCTTTACGGAGCATTATTGTGGCCACTCATTATTGTGGCCTTCTTCTTAAGGTTCAGTCGTACCAACACCTCCATCACACCTCATCCACCTGGTTGCTATTGATTGAGGATACCGCTCGCCTCTGTTCACTTTTCCGAGCCTGTAGTAAGAGTCTCCCTTGAAGACGTAAATTCTGTTGTTGTTGATCCAAGTCGTTGCTGCGTCAGCATTTCGCAATCGTCGTGACCTAATAGTCCTCGGGGAATTCCATCTATTTCGGTTACTACTGAGGCGCCAGTATTTTGACCCTCTGATAAAATGGGTCACATTTCTGGAGGTGAAAGCCGCGTCCATGTTGCGTGCGAAACGACGCAATCTGTACCGCCTGCGAATCAATCCGGTAGTGAGAAGGACATTGTTGTCTCTGTACTCCCAGTATCTACAGCAAAGAGCCAATGCAAAGTGTAAGTATCCCGGATTGCCATTAGATAAGGGGCCTTTTTGTGAATTCAAGTACTCTCAAACGCATGTAACTGAACTGGTTTGGAAAAGGTTGAATCCTTAAACCGGCTGGTGGCGCCATATGCGGTTACACAATAAACTCTTTAAATGCATACATACATACATATATATGTATAATTAATAAATGGAGTACTAAAAATAAGAATGGCAATTGTTCATGGCAAAAAGTGAAAAAAAAACCAACAAATAAGAGAGTGAATTAATGGAGAAATGAACGAACCAATGTATCAATAAATTACTGAAAAAAAATTATCGGACGAATGACTTTCAAATGATTTTCCTTTGCTGAAATAAAATCCATTACCTTCCTCCTTTGAAAAATACAATATTCCCGTTTTCATTGCGAAAAGCTGCATCCAATGGACATTGAACATCACTCCAGAAGTCTGTGATTTTGTAAGGATCACTTTTCTCTAATGAGTTGTTAACTGTCCAAAACTGATTTCCTGAAAAGAAATACGTCAATTTGTCACCACTAAACACAGCGTCGTAGCGAGTTCCTGGTAAGCATGCAGGGTGTTGAGGTTGTTTTGTGGTAATTGGTATTTCTGTGGTACTTGTGGATCCTGTAGTTATTGGCAACTCTGTGGTAGTAGGTAGCTCTGAAGTAACTGGTGGCTCGGTGGTAGTTGACTGTTCTGTTGTTGTTGGTATCCCTGTGGAGGTCCCTGTGGAGGTTGGTGATTCCGTTGTAGATGGGGATTCTGTGGTGGTTGGCGTTTGCGTTGTGGCCACTATTGGAGCTGATTAACAAGAAATGGCGGTTACTAATCTTCTATTTTCCTTTTTCATTTTTCATTTCAAACATAAAAGTTCATTATAGAATTCTTATGAAAAAAAAAATCACATCAACAAAACAATAAATAAAGAAAACTTACCTCCATACAATTCCTGAATACCCAAAACATCGTCTCTGTTGAGCTGAATATCCGGGACATAACCCGTGTAAAATGGATACATAATAGCTTCCCGTACGTCTGAATGAGCCAGACCCAGACTGTGCCCAAACTCGTGAACAGCTACCCAGTCGAGGTTGATGCCTCGAGGTGTCCCTGTGGTGAAGACTTCATCGTCATCAAAGTGCGCGTCACCAGATAGACCTTGATGTAAAAAGTAGTGTCATCAGAAAACTGCAGCACATTGGGACTGTTTTACAGCACTCATAAATTAATTGACTGGAATTAACAGCAATTTAATTAGTTTGGAAAATTCATATTAAAAAATAAAGTAGCAAGAGCTACACAAGACATTTCCGTCACAACAATCTCTTTAAGTCCTCATGACCTCAACGTACTTCTTAAAAATCGGCCATTATTTATCTCTCAGGGGTCGGTGGATTTTTGTTGTCACTTTAACATTTACCTGATCCTCCAAAGGCTCTGCACTACTATAATGATCCCTCCCCCCATCAGTAGTCAATTTTCTATACCCCCACCCATTTATAGTCAGTTAGCGACGACTGACCCCACCTCCGTTCTCCGTGAAAACTATGTGATCCCTAAAATTCTCCTTACCCCACCCACGTGATAGATAGTGACCTGTCCTTTATTTCTATCAAACTGCTCAAAAGTGTCCTCACATTACTATCGTGCAAAAAGATCAAAGCGAAATGTCCACAAAATCTCCGAACTAACTCAGAAATAGTCTTTCGACTGCTGCAAATTTTAAACCCTCTGATTAAACCTATTCACGTCTAAATTAATAACTTTTCTACTTTTACACATTCTCCCCCCCCCCCCCTGGAATGCACCTGACCTCGATTGTTGGATGGGAAGAATGCATGAGCCAGTGTCCCACCAGGTCCGTCAAATGGGAATCCGTCGCCATGATCCCTGATGTCGTAACTTATAATGATGTCCGCATCATCCGATTTCGGTACCTCTGTGAATCGTAATGTTGAAGCAGATTGCCACAAGTCTAAAGCTTTACGGAATATCTGTCTCTGTGTCTCTGGAGGTATTGGGTCGTTTGCGAAATTGTCGATTCTATAGGTCAGATCCTACAACGATAACAAGCAAGAAAAGATAAGAAACGATTCATTATTAAATCCTGAATTATTCAATTGTTCGATTTACGCACGGGGAATGCTTCTTATAATGGATTCTAAATTCTCGAGAACCCATGTATCAAATACTGTATCAAATACTGTTTAAAAAAGATGTTGCTTGAAATTACCAGAAATGATTGAGATGTAACATCTCCTCGTGATATCCATTGGGCAACAATTGGGCTAGTAATAGGAACAAGCTAACTCATGAGGTAGGACGTGTTATTTAGATGTGGCGCCAATTTCTCTCCTTTACTCCAAGATAATATTTATTAAATCAGAAAGATACCAATCCATACTATACCAGATTACTAAGTAGGAAGAACAGTTTACATTTTTTTTGCCAATAAACAAGCTTTTGAAATCGTGAATGCGGCTGACGGTTTTGCTTTCAATGGTAAGAATATCACAAATATGCTATATTGATTATATAGAAAGGTTACCTAAAAAATATCTGATAATGCTTGAGTTTGTTAAACGAGACACACCAGTGCTATTAATCATGTGCAGCCCGTTCGTTTTAAAATCGCTAGAAAATTTGTTTCTCGTTTAAGTTAGTTGCCCGGAAATTGGAAAGTATGGGCTATGGGCATTTCGCAAGCAATCACTCCTCATTCATTATTTATATATTGATTTTTTTTTTTATATATATATATATATATATATATATATCTTTACGGAATTTAAAACACAAGATTCGTTTCATCTCACCCGTTTACATGACCAGCCATGAAACACCCTTCATATAATATTACCTTCTTCCTCCAAATGCTTCCCTGCAAATTGAATTCTCCCACATTTCTTTTAGTTATTCCTGTTAGGTCTGGGTCCTGCACTCCACATCTTGACTTGTTGAGTAACTTCATTGTTTCTGTATCGATATTTCCTGTCATTGGAACATGTCCAAATCGTTGGAGCCTCATCATTGCTTTTTTAAACATGGGAGAATTTTCATCTTTTACCAAGGCCATTTCACTTGAATTGAGGTAGCCATACTTATTCATGTATTTCTTTACCTAAAAAGAAATAGACACATTTGGTTAGAGCGCAAATCTGAATTTAATAAAAAGCGTGTAAAGAATCAAGTGGTTTATGTTTCGCGAGATTTTTCTCGTTGAAGTTCAAACTATTGCACTGCCGAAACTTTGTGATACTCTATCTAAGCTACATTTATTTTGGACGACAGCCGAAAAAGAATTTTTAGGCGCCTCGTTCGCAAGTTCCACTTCGATTACTGTTATTGACTCAATAATTTATGTTTCACCCTTTCAGACTACATGTATTATGAATATTGTAATATCAGGTAGCCGACCATTCAAATAAAACACTCAGTATTTATGTTCCCTTCAAATTTGATATCTCTACATTTCGTTTCTTGATGGTCGGGCACGCTAGCCTCTTACAGCTCACAATTATATGAGGTAAAGAAATCTTCTCAAAATTCAGTTGTATACATGTTCCTTCCTTCTTACCCAATTCATCATATTCTTCTTTCCACGACCTCGCTGTCGACGAATGGGGCGGTTTAGGACGCAACTCACAAGAGCGAGAATTACTACCAAGACTAAAAAGTTCTTCATCTCGAACATAGACGAATCTGAGCAACTCGTCCGTACACAGCTTTGTCTGCTTTCGATTGCATCGCCAAAGTGAGCTCGGACAGGTTTTATAGAAAACTAAGTACGGTAGCGGCGTGGGTGTCTGACACACACCTTTTCACGTAGTTCGGCCTCACCGCTCATATTGATTTCATGACCTTTCCTTTCCAAGTTCATGGATGATCACGCGCCGAACTGCCAATATCGAAAGGGGAGGGGAGGGGGGGGGGAAGGATGGGGCTTAAATTTACATTATGTCATTCAAAACTGGAATGATTTCAAGAATTTCGATTCATCCTGTACATTAGATTATATTTACATGTAGTTTTTTTTAGTAATAAAGACATTATTAGTCTAAAACAGCAGATCGATCGTAGTTGTTTGTCCTGTTTGGTTCCGAAAAAGGCTGTGATTTTAAGACATAATCTTAAGCTGTAGCCAGTGTGCACGTTTACAAGAGAGTCACACGAGTTCAAAGAGTAATTGAATCGAAACTGTTGGCATGGTACAAAGAAAATATCCCTGCCCCCTCCCCTTCCCCCCCCCCCCCGGACGATTCAAACCACACTGAGACATTACGATTCCGTGTTGGAATGCTCCACAAAATACGACACAGAGAATTCGCGAATGTGTTAGGTTTTGTACTTTTGTACCAGATTAATACATGCAAATAGGAGCAAGCGCAGGGAGTGGACAGTATTCAACAAGGGCAAATGCAAAGATTTCGCTTTCTTGGCAGGTTTCCCCTATTTTTTGGTTGTCAATCGCCTTACATTACAGACCTGCGTGATTAAATATCCTTCCGGTTTTTCCTAAGTATGAGGTCGATTGACGTTCGTGGATAGATATTGCTAGAATATTTTAGTTTTTTCTGCTGTGTCATCGACACGTAGGTTAGATTATTTCTAAAATAAAATATTCTGCCTCGCACAGCTGTAAGCGTCCCGGCGGAAGCGACAACTTTTTCTTCCCTAACCATATCCCAACTTCGGATTTTGTACATGTACAAATATGGAGTTTGTTTGTTTTGTTCTTTTCGTTTGTCAAGATGCCGAGATGACCATGATTACCCACTCAAGAAGCGTGAGAAGCAAACAATATCCCCACGTGAGAGACTTAATTGCATTTTTAAATATTCTTTGGTCGCATCATTATCCCTCTTGATTCGATTGACAGCCCAAACAAAGGGAAGAAAATTCTGTCTCACCCTGTCTCGTCTTGTTGTTACCAGCCTTGTTGAGACATCAATACATAATCTTGCAAACAGGTGAGGAGAAGAGACAGTGTTATGAACTTTATGGTGTCATCTGGATGTAACGCCAATTTCTCTTCCCCGGTTTACAACGAATTAAATGTAATACATGCAAAATAATACAGAATGAAGACTTACTAATCAGTTATTGGGAATCAAATAGTTAAACCATTAATTGCACAACCGCCAACACTAAAATCATTCACTCTCAGAGTTAAGTCTTAATGTTTGTTTTCTTTGATTTTTCAAGGATTCTTATGATACAACTCAACGGCTGAGAGATACAATTGACCCTTGTCTGAGATTAATTGTTATACCGATGACATAAAGTCCATTAAGCCAAACAGAAATGATGGAGATTAAAAATAAATCGATAAATAAATAAATGAATGAGCAAAAAAAGAGGGATCGGAAGCTAATGATTTTATCTAGCAGCAAACGTGTTTGAGCGCCAGACTTGCCCGATCTCTGAAGGGGAAATGAAACAATATTTGCAACGCTCGAGATTATGGGCAGTATAAATAGTTTATCACATGACAAGCCATTGATCTAATTTCCTTGAGCACTTAGAACTTATATGAATTAAATTGATCAGAGACTAAGAAAACTAACGAGGCAACTGGTTTCAAAAGGAGCAGTTGCGTTGCGCCAAATAAAACGTTTAGGTGGTTTTTGGTTACGGCGGCTGAAACCACCATAAACGAACTTTGAAAATCCGACGAGTCGATCCGAATGTTAGCCCCTTGTCGGAGGATGTTGGTAAATATAAGCTAAACGACACTTCAGGTTAACTTTGTGGCAAGTCTTATCGCTGACTAATGGTTTATCAGTTGTATATTTATAGAACTATAACATCATCGCGTTATAATTAAGATTTTTTTTATTTCTTTAAAATGGCAACATCAATAATACAAGCAGTATGACTACACTGGTTGATTCTCGAACCTTCGTGAATAAGAACTCTTTTTATCCTACTGGTGAAAGATTTCAAACGCCAGCATTGATTTTAAATTGCACTTACTTTAATATACCTGATACAAATTTTTGGGATTCTAACAGTTTGGAACAAATTGACTGTCCGATTAAGCCTGTCTGATGACAAGTGTCTGTAATTGGACAGGTCAAAGCAGACAGTCTTGGCCTGAAACAGTCAATAAAGCCACAAAAAAAGGCCGGTCGAGAATCATTCATATTCAAGTATATTGTTGTTATCACAATAACTAAAAAAATTGCAATGGGAATAACAACATTTTTTTAACTGACACAATGAACTTATCGGAGCATGGAAAGAAAGATATAAAGTACAAGATAGTGTTGAGCGATGACATTCACGGATCGTTGGAACTCGAGGGTCCAGATGCCAATGCTCCAATGCTAAATCCTGTAGTGGATCTGCACTTCATCCACCTACGAGCTGTGTTCCTCCGTCTTCCGTCCAGAAGAAGTTTCCCTTTCTTTAGCCTGAGGTACTGACTCCCCAGAAACACATAGGATTTTCCGTTGAGCCACGTTACCGCAGTGTCAATATGATCAGGAAATTTCCAAGCGCTTCGGATCTTTCTAGGATACGGATTTCTTGAAGGTCCTCGGACTGTGCGTCGGGTCCATTCGTTATACCGCCAATATTGTGTTCCTTTGAAGAAGTAGGTGATTTGGTTTTTTTCCCAAATGAAAACTGCGTTCATGTTTGCCAGACTCAAGGGAAGCCCATATCTTTTTATGAGACCGGAAGATTTCAAAATTCTTCGTGAGTCGTATTCCCAAAACCTGCAAAAACGCCAAAAATGTGGGCTAAAACTCATGAGAATGGTACGCGCAGGTCTTCTGGTTCTCGCGGTGTACTCCAAATGGACAGCGTTCGAGCCGTAATATTGTTCTATGTTCCTGGACAGGACACTTTGGTCTTATAAGGGCTATCTTCACCCAGGAGTTTAAATGGTAACAGCAATCTGCCGGGGAAAGCCGATGAAATATATGGGGGAGGGGGAATAGATTGTGATGGACCAGCGTCCCATGCAGAGGGAGGGGGGGAGGGGTTGGCCAGGATTGCTTCAAATCATTTGCTATTACGGAAACTGGAATAAGCCGTGGCACTGAGAGTGGGTAGCCTCCAAGGAAACTTATACTTATCTATCTTATCTAAGACTCTACTTGAGTACGACGATACTTTCCATCACGTAGAAGTTTAAGTTAGCTGAGTGCCTTGGGAAATGACACACAGTTCATACTGTGTAGTTGTGAAACTTTTATAAACGCTATAATTTCGAAAATTTGGCTCTCAATTTGATAACAAGAAATCTTTCAGCAACTATTTCAAAGTCTTGCAAAAAACTACTTTACTGAGTTTACATGGCTGCTCTTTCACTTAAAAACGCAGCAGACAGACGATACTGATCGTTGTTGTCATATCAACATATTCGATCGCGCTCTTAGAAACCATACTCAAGCCTATTGAGGAAAACCAAACATTTTTTCTTAAAATAAATAAAAACCGCCATCTTACTCTGTTCCTTTAAAGAACACGATGTTTCTCCGTTTGTTGCGGTACACGGCATCCACGGGGGTCTTCACCTCCTTCCAGAAAGATTTGATAGTGAATGGACCACTCCTGCGCAGTCTTCTGTCCACGATCCAAAACCAATTTCCCACAAAAAAGTACGTCATCCGCCGCCTGGGATCTAAAGAGACTGCGTCATAACGGACGGAACTATCGCAAAGATCTGGTGGAGTGGGGCGAGAAGTAACGGTACGAGGGCGGAGAGTTACCCGCGGACGCTGGGTAGTTGTGGCTTTTGTTGTGGCTTTATTTGTGGTCCTTAAGGTTGGTGCTGTTGTTGGCTCTGAAATGTTTTTGAAAATCAAAACAAATGTCTTCTTGCTGTTCAATTTCCTAAAATCGTAGTCAACTATTCAACGTAGCGTGCAGTAAATATTCTTTGGTTTTCAATGCGCTTTACCACATTTGGCAGTAAAGTCGCAATCTGACTGGCCAATTTGCCGATGTCGATAACAGTCTAAACAACGCTGCTCGCGTCAACGTGTCACACGATGGACATGCATTGAAAGGATCGTTTTATTTGATGTCGATGTTGTGGCAAAAAACAAAACTTTGACTATTGTGATGACGGATTTCGTTGTCGATGAGAGTACAGACCACGCTAAACTACTGTCGATTTGGTAATTTGCCTTGTTCTTATAAGCCATTGCGATCAGTTATTAGCCGTTGCGATCAATTTGGCTTTTCTTTACCGACATCCAATCGCAATTGTAAGTCGCATAAGCTTTGATCCCTGAAAACGCACATTATTGCATGCATGCTTCCTTACTTGGATACAAAGATTGAATTCCTTGTATGTCATCATCGGTCAGTTTAACATCCGCGACATACCCCTTGTACCAGGGGTACATGATTGAGTCTCGCACATTGGAATGTTCCAGACCCAAACTGTGTCCAAACTCGTGAATCGCTACCCAGTCCAAGTTAATGCCGTCGTCTGGTGTCTCTGTGGTGAACTTCTCATCATCGTCAAAATGAGCGTCACCGGATAATCCTGCAACCAATGAGAGTTTGCTTTGATTTTTTTACTGAGCAAAAGGAAAAGACTTAAATTGAAGTTATGCATGTGTAATGAGAATTAAGAAAACTGAAGTCAAACCATAGTTTTAATAGTAAAATGCACTGTTCGCTAACGAACAGTGCATTTTCAAAAAATTGAATCAATAATCCTCTTTCTATCGATTTCACTTCACCACTTTTAGAATTTTATTTCACTCTTGGTAGAAGTGGTGGCCGAGCACCTTGCTTACACAGCCATGGCTGGGGCGTGAAATTGAAATCT